CGTTTCATCCTCTTCTCCAGAGGCTGCCCATTTGTCTGTGGCCCTGTTTCATTTCAGCCCTCTCCAATCTCCCCCCAAGAGGATGCCAGTGTATCTGTATCACAGGGAGGGAAGTGGAAAGCACAACCACACCCCCACCTCCCGTCAATGCTACTGTAGTGGACCAGCACAACCTTTAAGATTAGATTAGTCAGGCGTGGGCCTAGAAGTCACTGTGAGGTTGTCTTTAATGAGACGATTCTGTTGGTCTGTTTTCCGCCCTCGCTTTCATTGTGTGTCTCGAGCCAAGCTCATTATTTCTGTAACGCTGCAAGAAATTCTTGCAAAAGCTGTGTATGGAAAATAAGAAGAACATTTGGCACCAAGTTTTGAAAGTTAAGCAGGACATAAAAGGTTTTTAGCCAATGACAGGAACAAGTAGTGTAAGACATTTCATTTTTTTTTTTTTTTTTTTAAAGCGGTAAAAGTCGCTGGGATGTGTCATTGGCAGTTCTGCACCCTCAGCATTTTTCAATAGCATAACATTATTGGGAGACGACTGGTAAAATTCACTACCTGTGCAGTACCCACACATACAAGCACGCGCACACATACAGTACCTCCTGAGTCTACTTAGAGATAGTGCAGTGGATGTAACATTAGGCTGGGCTTTCCAATTTATTTCACCCCCCTCCCTCAACGCCTCATTGCGGACGTTAATGACTTCTACAGAGTAACCGTTTAAAGAGTGCTAAGGGAGAATGACTGGTGGGACACATGGGGTATTTATCAATTTCTGCAATAGGCAAGTTCGATTCCAAAGCTCAGGTGCCAACTTCTGTGTGCCTGCCAACACTGTTCAATAGTTCTCGCCTTTAAACTTATTCCATATGATACTTAAACATAGAAAGCACATGAAAATGGCAACCATGTATCAGTTGTCAAGACCTGGGTAATTGATGCAGCGCAATCAAGCCTGTCAGAGCAGTGAATGTGCGACATTTATGTTAAGAACCACGGACGAAGGCTGGACAGACTTGAAGGCGCTCGCATAACAGTCGTTGACAGTGTATGAAAGTAGCCTTGGGGCATTCATCCTTCTCCTCCCTCCCATCAGCCATCCCTCCATCTGCCGTCGCTCTACTTTTGCTCCCATTCAGGCTGCAACCTGACAACAAAGAGAGAGACGTGTTTAGCAGGCAGGTCTTTGCTGGTTTATTCCTCCTGTCCACTAGAGCGGAGAAGTGAAAGACACTGTTTGTCTCTTCTGTTTGCTGTCTCCATCGTACTCTCTCTCTCTCTTCTGCTGCTTTCTTCCCACCCACCCCCCCAAACATCACCACCACCACCCCTTCCCCACATTTATTTATCCATTCACCCTGCAGTGCTGAGAGAGTGAGGACTGCGTTTTACAAAGCATGGTTAGCCGTAACATTGGACATGCTAAGTTTTGTCAACAAGACCAAGAGCCGCTTAGATTTGCAGCAACATAAAGCGATCTGAGGTTTGAATCTGGGTCAATGGGAAGCAGGCCTAATAGGGATGTACCAAAAACTGATCAGGTTCAACGTAATATTTTCCATACCAACTTCAGAAATTAGAAAGCCATTTTAGATATTTAGCCTGTTCAGTCTCTAATCCTAAAATCTCTTATGTAGGATCCCTTTTGGCAAGCAACATCTCAGTAGTCTGAGACTGTCTCCTTTCCAGCCAGTACTCAGTATTTGGGAGTGCTGTCAACTCACCGTTACGCTTTTGTTTCTTATGCCGCATTCAGACCAACCACTAATTTTCGCCTCGCGACGCTTTCCTCGCGTGAGTACATTCGCTGCAAGTGTTCACACACAACACGAGAAGGCCATTTTAACGTGAATAAATACAACTGTATGAACCCAAAGTAAACATTTTGCTGTGAATAAATGGCAATAAACGGATTAAACTGATGCCGAAATAACTACAACATGATGCAGATTTGTTAAACATATGAATTCATGCTCTGTCAGGTCTGCCAGCAAGATAGCAGGACAACAACTTTTAAAATGTTTGTTTTCTGAATGGAGTTCAATCAGGGCTATGCTATGCTAACTTGGTCACAGTAAAGTACAGTGATAGCTGGAATAAAGTTACAGACACGTTTTCTGAACTCACCAGGTAGTTCAACCTCCTTGCTTTCTTTTCTCAAAGTAATGTCCAGTTTTGTTCGTTTTTTATATAAATATGAAGTCGTAGTCCGACAGAGCTAACGACGCTAACAACAACACTGGAACCGGATGTGCATGGAAGCTAGGTGCTGAGAAGCTCCAGTGAAGATAAATCAGCATTGAAATCTAAAGTAAAAAGATAATTTAATAAAAGCAGTTTACTCCGAGCTCCTCCCGCGAGTAAACTACGTAGTTGTCAGAACAGAATCCGACAGACTATGGGTGTTTATTTGTCCAGTGGTTGCAGTGCTGCTCCCTGCTTCTCTCCCCGGCCAGCAGTTTTTCAATTCCCCCGCTCTGCCTGGCATTCTCCACACATCGCTCTGAAGCCTCGGTGACATACAGACACTCTCAACACTGATAGGCTATCGCGACTCAGCGTCATGCGACTTCTTCGCTTGAGTTGAAAATATTCAACTCCGTGTAAGGCTAATAAACCAATAGTTTTTGGGGAAGTTGAGGTGAGTCATTGCCAAGGATGTCAGGCACAGACAGACAGACAGGCTGCTGGAAGCCAGTAGTGCTTCCTGCAGAGACTTTTGTCTGGCCCACAATTGATTGGGTCACCTCAGGGAAATGGGCTCGACCGAGACTGCATTGCATGCAACTTATCATTGTCCTCCCCTCTTAGTGGTGGATCTTTCTTTAAACTGATGGGAACAAAAGATACGCCTAAGGTATAGATTTACACCCTGAAACAGACTGTGATAGACTGTAAAAGTGTTATTCTCTGTTTCTGTGTAGATAGTAAAAAGTTGTGAATCATAATTGTTGCATCATCTTCAAGATTATTTGTTGTTTGCCAGTCAAGGACTCCTTGCTTGGCAACCTTAGCCTTCATTTAAAATTGTGTTCAGCTTGTTGCATCTTGTGTCAACATCAGTTGGGGTCCATATGCTTTAGCCTTCAATACACTTAAATTATAGCCAAGTCAGGGGATATAATAAAGGAGCTCAAGAGCAGCATAGGAGTGTCTGAGACAAAAATGTCTCAACACTAGTTAATGGTGCACTAGTGAAACTGCAAATTGCTGCACATCCGTTCACTGAGCCACAGATTCTTTTGTCACACACACCTCCTCAAAGGCACAGTCTCTATGTGGCAGGAGTCCAACTGTTGTCTTTGAGCTACGGCAGCTGTGTAGCTGACAAACGCGCGGTGGTAAATGTATGTTTTTAAATAATTTGTATTTCATTAAAGTTTAAAGGGAATTAGGGCAGCCACGCATATTTAAAATCCACCCCTCCTGACAGAAATTGAAGGTTGGTGCAGTATTGAATTACAACAAATGTAAAGTGAAACGCAACGGTCACAGTGGTTCACACTTTACCTGCAGTTACATGATGGTTCCGTGCCATATCTCCGATGCAGTTGGGTTTCAGAAAGGGAGGGCCACTGAGGCTCCTGTGAAACATGAGCGCTCTTGATTCTCTGTCTGTGTCTGTCCAGTGGCAGCCTGCCAGAACCAGCAGCCTAGGAGAGATTTGTTACATAGGAATTGTGAGCTGTTGTTAAGCTAGCATATGGCCCTGTGTTTATTGTAAAAGATGGAGACCTATGGCAGAGGGGTTTATTTTAAAAGATAGAGGTCTATGGCAGGGGGGTTTATTGTAAAAGATGGAGGCCTATGGCAGGGGGGGTTATTGTAAAAGATAGAGGTCTATGGCAGGGGGGTTTATTGTAAAAGATGGAGGCCTATGGCAGGGGGGGTTATTGTAAAAGATGGAGGCCTATGGCAGGGGGGTTTATTGTAAAAGATGGAGGCCTATGGCAGGGGGGGTTATTGTAAAAGATGGAGGCCTATGGCAGGGTGGTTTATTGTAAAAGATGGAGGCCTATGGCACATGAGCTCATCTCTCTGGGCTGAAGGAAAATTTCATTCTATTATTTTCCATTTAATTTGTCCACTCGTTGAAATTAAATGGACCAGGAGAAAACAAAGTAAGGTGAGAAGTGTGAGACACCAGAGCTCATGGAGAAAGATGGAAGAGACATACAGAATCCAGCCCTGTAGTATGTAGAATGAAACTGCTTCCCACCCAACTCACTTATTGTGTGTTTGCAGAAGTTATCACTTGAGTTGGTTGATTGCAGATGATGGTGCATGTGTTTCTGTTTTAGTTTGACCTCAATAAGTATATCTCAGCAGTATTAGGGTATTGTGCCACAGCAGTGATACCACATCCTGCTAGTGGTATTTTCTTGTTGTTATTAATGTGTTTTAACCTGTAATATACAGCAATTTCTTGTCAGCGTGCCCAAACTGCATTAACTCGGTTAGCCAACATCATGCAGCTGTTTAAACCACCCCACTGCTGCATCACAACACATAAGGCTTTCCTGCTAAATGCTGCTACCACAAATCACCTCCTATCAGTTCTCTGGAAGCACTGGGTTTAGCAGCGTACATCAAGTCATAGCTGTAGGGCTTTAACACCAACTGGCTCTTCTTTTATTAAATTTAATCCATTATACCCAGCGCGGGCTTCATTTCATATGATCCTTTTGGCAGATTTTCAACTATTGTGCTTAGAATTGTGTATCAAAAGTTACCCAAGTCTGCACTTGGCAACTTTGTGTCTGGCATCTGGGATTTTTCCTTTTGGTTCTCTTTATTGAGAAGTTGATTTCTGTGCACGTTAAACAAATATTTTTTGACAGCGTGAAGGTTCTCACCATTCTTGTGTTAGCCTCTGTTTTTCACAGCCAACGGGGCAATTCTGGTTTTCTTTCAGGCAACTCTATATTACAAAGACTGGCTTCTTTTTATCTGTGTTTTTAAATCAAAGTTTTCTGTTCTCATCTGTTTCTCCATCCCAGAGCTTTCCGTCAGACGAAGGGTGGCCGTTCGCCAAGTACCTGGGAGCGTGTGGGCGCATGGTAGCTGTCAACTACGTGGGCGAGGAGCTGTGGAGCTTTTACAACGCACCCTGGGAGAAGAGGGTAGATTTGGCGCGTCAGCTGATGGACATCGCCGAGCAGCTCACCAACAATGACTTTGAGTTTGCCCTCTACTTGCTTGATGTCAGCTTCGATAACTTTGCGGTCGGCCCGCGCGACGGAAAGGTCATCGTTGTTGATGCCGAGAATGTGCTCGTGGCAGACAAAAGGCTGATCAAGCAGAGTGAGTGGTAACGTCAGTCATTACCTGAACATGTGCTCTGTGTGTGGGTGTGTGTCCATATGTCTGTGATTAATGCCTTGCATATCTTATTCCCCCAGTTGCCATGACAATTCGTCTTTGTTCACAAACACCTGTGTATCACACATTTTAAACGTCACCACCTCCGGAGCTGTGTTAAAAGAGACATGCCGGTCATTTGTATAGGATAGTATTTACATGAACACTTTCTTAACGACTACTTCCCACTCAAAGTAGTATGGAGCTGTCGTTGGTGGTTTTATACTTGTGTAAGATTGGTGCTCCTCTAAAACTGCAAACTGATAATCATTAATTGTATCATTCATTGGATTATAACATGTCTACCCATGCACTGGTTGTGCCTCCTCTCCATCATCCAACTGTTTATCACAGACTTCCTCAAAAGCCAGGGTGTGATCGCTGACCACACCTTGAATTCTGTAGAAAACACAGCACTTTGTCAGAAATATATCTGCCAACTGCAGCTTATGAGGCAGTGACGAAGGTTCGAGGGTGTGGAAAGGTCCCAAGGGATAAACGGCTGTGGGCAAATCTGCACATGCTCGAGGCCTCCTCTCTTCTAAGAATACACTCCTTCAGCACCCCTTCTGCCTCCGACACTTTCGTCCCCATCAAAGCAAAAATCATTTGGATAACAAGCCATCTCCGCTGCCCTAGTTTTTTTTGCCTCTCAGAATAAACCTCATAACAAGGACAGAGAGAGCTATACATCACACACTCAGCGTGGCAGTTTCCTACCGCTCAGCCCCCCTTCCAAGGGCTACTTCAAAGAGAGGGACGACCACCCATTCGGGCTCTTAGATCTGTCCCTTCCTGCAGAAATCCCATTAAAGTGATAAACTGTTGTTTCGCTAGGTGTTCAGGTTCCACCATTGTGCCCTGTGACAAATATGAAGTAGTGTCTGTGAGTGGGTGTGGCTTGTTTACTACATTGTTTACCACAGGTTTAAAGGGCGGCGTGAGGATAAAAACTTGGATTTAGGGTTAGGCCTTTGGCACTTAGTTGTGATAGTTAGGGAAAGGGACTAGGGAATGCATTTTGACAGTGACTGGTTCCAGGTGTGTGGTGTAAAGGGGAACTATTGTGATGAATTTATCCAGAGTTAAAGTGCTGCTCTGCCAAATTATAACATCTGACACCAGAAAACCGAAAATACATGTTCAACATGTCAAGGTACTCCAACATGCCTTTGTATATATTCACCCTGTTGCCAATAGCTGCAATTTTCCACCCTGTCACAGTAGCCCTTTGCAAGTCCCGAAGCACAAACCAGGTTGAGACTCCCTTTGTCAGAGAGGTTGACAACTCAAGCTGCTTACCCTGGCCAGTCAGAGTTTAAGCCTCAAGAATGTTTACGTGCTCCCTGTGTGTTGGATCTGTTTGTGTGTGCGCGCCAAGTGCCGGTGCAGCAGGAAGACGAGGGATGACTGCTGTAATGAGTATTACGAGGTCACAGCCATGTGTCGGACAGCAGAAGGAAATAGGCGCGGTAACCTCCCAAGGCTCCACAAGCAGGGAATCCAATCCCTACAATTAGAGCCTGAGATTGAAAGCAAGTTAAAGTGCGCGGCGCGAATCTCATCAGTCTAAACTGGGGCCACTTGATTTGCAAATCAAACACGCAGAAAGTTCACGCGCAGTTCCACCCTCTTGTTACTGGCATCTGATGCGGCGAGTTTCGGCAAGATAAAACACATGCTGTGTTCAAGTTGTGCCGTGTGTTTGCACAGTCCAGTGGTGCGAAAGGAACCATTCCCCATCATTGAGTTTATAGCATTTTGAGGATGGTTTCACCCCCAGTGGTTTTTGGAAACACATGCTGTATAATGTAACACACACTTCACTCACTCTCATTCTCTTCTCCCTCTGAGACGCTCACCAACTTACACAAATACACACAAATGCAACAGCACTTGAAACACTCGCACACGCGCTGGCTCTCTCTTTCTCTCACATTCAAGAATGCACTCTAACACAGGCATGCATTGTTAAAACCGGCTTGTACTCTTGAATGCCACTAGTAAGGCTTCGCTAACAAGCATTTCAGGGCCAATGTCCCTTCTCTGTGTAGCGCTGGGAAGGCAGGGGAGTGAGGTGAATGTATACAAGTCCAACCTGAGCTCCTTAACATGGAAGGTACCGGATACACGGGAGACGAGAGAGTCTAGGCAGCCTAGCTTGTCCACTGCTCTCCCACTCATTTGAATTGGAAATTTCATTTTGCTTTGGAAATTTTCTAGCTTTGTTACACTCACGCCAGCAGTAAGAGCGGAACAGAGGGGATTGTGGTGCAAGTAAATAGACCTCAGACTTCTTTTAGCTTTTAGTTGAGTCTCAGAGTAGTTCTTCTGCTGTGCTCATCTTCGTCCTTGAGTATGAACCTTCTCCTCCCTCCTTGTTCTTTTTAGGCGTTCTGTCTGACGTGTGTGTCTGTCCATTAGTGCAAGTGAACAAGAATGGGACGCCCTACTGATGCTATCTGTCAATCAGCACTGAGGTGTGATGCATGGCCAGCTCTGAAACATTAATTGCTTTCACCTCACCTTGCTGCGTACATCTCTTTTTTATATATATATGTGTGTGTGTGTGTGTGTGTGTGTGCGCACGCGTCGTGGCGCGTGTATGCAGCCAGATCCATCTTCATCACCCGCACTGATTGAGGTTGATGTGCCCCCCCTCTTCGGGGGGCCACAGGGGCCCCTTGCTAACAGGGCAGTGCTGGATTTTTGATTGAGTTGTTCTGATGAGCCAGAGGAGAAGTGCATTACAACGCTGATACACTGATTATGTGTTTGCATCCTCTGGGTCGCCCCCCCTCCCAACAATGTTATTGATCTGCTTTTTAATGCACAACCCAATAGCTCTCTCATCATGCCAGGTTATTTTCTCTGCTCCCTCCTTTCCCCACAGAATCCCTCTAAAGAGAGAAAGCAACGTGAAATGAGCTGGAGAACAAATTTTATTTGCTCAATAAATCTGGAAAGTGGTTCATTTCTGTCAAATGAAACGGTAGATAAATTGTTTAGCTGTGTGCTTTGAAAAAGAATTTCCTGTTAGCGCCCGCGGGATGTCAAAAGTGGCACCTCGACCCTGCAAGCCTCTGGTCCAAGTTTTTTTTTTTTTTTTTTTTTTCTTGGGTAATAATTTGCACAAACCTTTGAAAAATAGCTGTTCTCCATGTTCAGATGCAGTCAGACAGTTGGTTGTAATCACTTTGCTTATGTTGGTGAAAAATGCTCTTACTACACAGGAAAAGTAGCCATCTAAAATGTAATCTACAGGCTGGTTTGATTTTCATCAAAGTGTCTAAGACATATCCCAGTCTTTTTACATATTCAACTCATGAAGGTTGTAAGCACCAGGGTTATGACCCAATAAATGCCTTTATATATTTGAAATGAATGTTGTGCACCTAAGACTATTAATATCACTGACAAATTTTTTTTATGATCAGTGTGTTTTTATTGCGGTGTGTTCATTTAACTGTCTCTCCGTCTCCCTGCAGACAAGCCGGAAAGCTACGACGTGTGGTATGAGAGCCGTTTTGAGGAGTGCGACAGGGAGGCCTGCCTGTCTTTCTCTAAGGACTCCCTTTGTTCCAGGGTCACTGTGGACCACAACTACTATGCTGTGTGCCAGAACCTGCTGTCGCGGTATGCTACGTGGCGGGGCACCACTGGAGGCCTCCTCCATGACCCCCCCGCCCACATAGCTAAAGATGGACAACTCGAGGCCATGTTGGACGAGTGCACCAGACCCAAAAAGCGATACGGCCGCTTCCAGGCGGCCAAGGAACTGCGCGAATACCTCACACAGCTAGCCGCCGCTTCTTCCTCCGCTACGGCCAGGTAATAAACGGAGACGGCGTTAGCCCGACGCACTGAGAGACTGGATCCTGTACTCTGTATCTCCGGACTCTTGAGATCCTGGTTCTTGTACATGATGTCATTCTCTCCCCTTTGTGCACTGGATCAGGAGAGTGTTAGAGGTCTTGCATCAGGCAGTGTAAGAATCAAACTTCAAAGCAGATTTGTTAAAGCTCTGGCTTTAACCTGACTTTGCACCCCATGTGAAAGAGCAGTGTGGCGCTAAGAGATTCTGCTTAGAACCAGAATAGAGGTAACCTTTCCTCTCCCAGGGTGGGCTGCCCTCCTTGATGGGGGGTAGGTGAAAAAGGGCTCTGGTAAACGCATCCCTCACTGGACCCAGGCTAACGCACACTAGGGCATTCAAGACGCAAGAACAGCAACAACATCGCACAGCCCTGACCACATCCATCCTCCTGTTCACTCCTCAATCCATCAGAACTGATGTTTCAGAACATTGAATCTTAACACCTGTTTCATTTTGCCCCCAGGATCTCTTGGTTGTTTTTTTTTTTTTCAGGGCTGAATTTAAGTAGATTGGTGCGTTTACATCCTTGTTGTGCCATGGCTTCTTTTTTTTTTCTCTCTGTAGCATGGCTGCAGGGAAGGCAAAGGTAGCATGAATCTCCTACTGTCAGGCAGCGGAGATTGCCAAGCTACAGCAGGTAGAGAGGAGAGGCAGAGGGTTGTGGGGTTTTGTTTTGTTTTTTTTTATGCAGGAGAAAAAAAGAAAACCCTTGACGGCTATATAAATCTAATTTCCTGCTACTCCAATCAATCACTTGATTTCCAGGATTGTGGCAATCATATATTTTTGGGGTTTTTTTTAGTGTTGTTCTTCCCTTCTTATAGGAAACAGAGGGTGTAAGACTGCTGCACATAGGAAAAGGAATGGAATTGGACAGTGGTGGTCCCTTGATGCAGATGTGCCTATACCAAAGAGGCTATATATAATAAGAACCCGAAGCAGTACAGAGTGACAGCACTTTTCCCTCCAGTTGTTCGCCACTAGAGCTGTCCAAAGGAACCGTAATGTGTAAACAATCGTAAATGAGCTGGCAGCCCATCCTCCCACCCCCAAAATCAAAGATTGGGCGGAATGTCACATAACCCCTCTCTGCTTTGTTAACCTCCCATACGACTGATAAATGATGATCAGATAGGCTTAGACGTGTTTTTCTTCAACAAGGTCAAAAACATCTTGACTAAATGAAAGTGGGGAAAATGAAGTGATTCTGAAGAGGACTGGAAAACCACAGTTTAAAAAAAAAAAAAAAAAAAAGCATAGTAGTGGCGTCCAGTGCCAATTCTTTTTAAATGTCTGTGATCAATCCTGTTGTGAAACTTCTCCCACTAGTGTTGCGTGCAGTCAGCTCTATCAAGTAAATGTTTAAAAAATTAAATGAAGATATCCTAAATTCCCTCCTTACTCCACAACTGGCGTCTGACCTGCACTTTAAAAATTTGCAGCCCAGAATTCTTTTTGTTGAATATTTAAACGCTCAGCACCACTTAGAGGTTTGGTTGATTTTACACTCAGTGGACCAGCGAATTAAAGCATGATCACAAATATAAAGGCTCATTTGGGAATGGATTATGAAAGATCTTGCTTGAATAACCTTAAAAAAAGAAGAAGAAATCCCCTCATATGTTTTTGTATGTCATCTGTCTTGATATTGTGAATCAGACGCTAAATGCCCAGTGGAGTGTTGTGTAGCACAGTCAATAGGCAGGCAAATAATCAAGTAAATATGAGCCACTCCGTCTACGGGGGAAACTAGAAAAGCACAGCAGTTGCTTTTTTTGGCCTTCTGCGAGACCCGGGGAGCTGACGTGACTCTGTCAGGCAGGAAAAGCAATAAAGAGAAGTTTGGCTGATGGACCTTCTGGTTTTTTCCTTTTGTTGTGTCAGAAATATTTCTGTTTTCCCTGTCTGGAGGACGTTAAACTTGGAGGGATTTGTACGTGCGTGACTAACTGTTCACTTTTGTACTGTAATATTTCTTTTGAGTATTGATATCAGCATTGTCTGATTTTTCCTGTGCCTTTCATTCAAAAGTTGTATTTACAACTTTTAGTGGGTTTAAATAATGAAATAAATGAAGATATATAAATATATATATATATATATATATATACATACGATACGTGTGTGTGTGTATATATGTATATATATATATATATAAATAGATAGATATATTCACTTCCGATCTGTGTGGACTCTTCTTGATCATGTCTGAATCTTTTCATTATTTCCCATGTAAGTTACATTTTGGCTCTAGTTCATATTGCCTTTTTAAAATTGGATTCAGTGTGGCACAGCTGGATGTCAGTGTTTGCCAAATGCAATTCCTTTTTTTCCTCATTCCTCCTCCTCGGTTTTGATCTTTCATATCTTCATCTTTCCTCTAATTTGGATCCTAGCCCGAGTTCCCTTTGTTGTGCTCTCCACTCAACCAGAATGCGAGTCCTTCTCTTTTATCCATATTTGTGGAGATCTTTTTTTTTTTTTTTTGAAACCGTTTACTGTGTCTGTGTGGAATTTGTGTGAATATTTTCTTTTTTTTCTTCTTTTAGATTCAATTTTTAAAAGACATAAAAGAGCTTTGATTCTAAAAACACAAGACAAACAGTATTGTATGCTGGCACCCATGCTCATCACCACTTGGATTTTATTTTCTAAGTCAACTCTAAACTCTTCTCCTACTCATTATTTTTGTGTGTGTGGTATTTGCTAATTCAATAGCTCTTCTCTCTCTCTCTCTCTCTCTGTCTCTCTCTCTCTCTCTCTCTCTCTCTCTCTCTCTCTCTCTGTCTCTCTGTCTGTCTTGATCCAGCTCTTGCTCGTCGCATAAGAGCCTGTGGTGAAACAAAGTAGTGCTCGAGCCAGAACCAAAATTAGAAGTTACATGACAGACACTCAATGCCGCTCTTTCTCGGTCTCCCTCTCTCCATGGTCATTCCTCCACCTCTTCCCTTCTTCTCCTCTGTAATTGTGCATCTTTGTGACACACCCGCTGGTTTGTGTGGAGAGTTGATGTCACACTCATTGTGGTGAAGTGCTGTTTAGCCCTCTGCCACTGTAGCTACACTTAGCCCAGCTGATGAATGGCCTCCGGGGTTGGCTAGCCATAAGAAAACACCACAGAAAATGAATGGGGCACCAGGCGCTCTACTGCTGTCCTATGAGTTTAAATAAACATGAGGCAATTTCAAGGGGTAGCCACCGGGGAGTTTATGCATTGGACACAGAGAGGAAGGAGGAGCATTTGTTTTTTTACTAAAATGAGACAACATGGTTGTAGAGGAAGAGCGTCTGGAAATGTGTAAACTCCAAACTACGACAAATAGAACCCCAGAAATTTCCCCACTGCATTATCCAATTTGCCGCAACAGAGTTAGCCTCCATAAATTGAAGTCTAAAGTTGTCAAAGCCACAACAGAGGCGAGAGCAGCTTATTTTTGCATATTGTGTTTTTGCAGCCACTACCCAGAGGAAGAGTGGATATTGTTATAATTCATCCACCAGTGGTTGAGGGGATATTGGTAGCATTACAAACAGGTAGGAAGTAATTGTGCTGTCAGTCATGTGACTACCCTCGCCGCCATATCAGCAGGTATTTGCACATCCAAAGCATTTTTGAAATCCACCCCTGAATTCCTTATCAGCACGGGGTGCGTCTGAAAAGGCACAGGTGGAAAGTATTGTAGAGTGTTCCGCAACCATATTATCTAAATCTCTACATGACTTTAGCCTCAGCTGTCATATTCCAAACCTGGCAAACTCCTGATATCTTATTCAGGTCATAAACTGAAGGCGAGTGGGGAGGGAGAGAACCGCCATATGTTAGATTACAGCAACAAATGGGGATGAAAAATGAGTAACCACCAAAAAAAAGCAAAGTTTCCTGGTTGCTGTTGCTTGGCTAACGTGATGTAAAGTCTATTTCATGCTCTAGGAAGCCCCAGGCAGTGGCAGCCATTTTTAGAACTGAAATGACATATATATATATATATATATATATATATATATATATATATATATATATATATATATATATATATATATATATATATATATATATATATATATATATATATATTTATTTATGTATTTATTTTATGGGGGGTTAGATTTGGCCAGTGTTGAGGGTTAGTGTTATGAATAACTACGTGTGAACCGTGTCAGGGAGCGCTCACCCGTGTGCACATGGCCTCTTGTTTTGGGGCTTTTCCGGGTTTGGCTGGGGCTCAGGAGAGCAGCTCTGAAGACTCTTTGTGAGCCCCCGTTGGAAAATCATCACTAATGCAACACAGGAGTTGCTAGAAGCGATGTTCCTGTCAGGCTGCTTACATCCCTTTAGCATGGTTATGTCACTCTCACATCTATTATGCCTCATTTAGATAGGACTCTGGTTTTGAGGCTTTTTTTTTTTTTTTAAAGCTGTCGCACACCTCAGCCCAACACAAAAATCCACAGCTGAAATAATTTGTTGTTTTGAAAATACAGCTAGAGTATGCTTGACAGGGACCAAATAGGGGTGCATCATGGCAGCCAGGTTGTTTGGGTTTTTAGAAAGGTAATGTGGTTTTAGTTTGATCTGCGCATTTTGACATCAGGAGGCGCGCCCTGGAGGGAGAGAAAGGGCGTCCAAGAAATAGTTTAATGAAAAAACTGCAGTGTGTGAAAACCACCTTGTCACGTAAGGGCTAGGGCATTCAGGACGAGCCCACATCTCTTTAACAGATGCCCTTCAAAGTACAGTTCAGGAGCGTCTTTTATTATGGCGGTGTGAACCTTCTCCGCTAGGAACCGAATCAGCCAGTTATCATCAAAGCTGTGGGCAGGATGTGATGATGGTGATAATAAAACTTTCATATAGCCCTACACCCATTGTGCTCCGCAATGGCAGTCTTCACTTGACCTTTTTCCATTCAAGAAAAGATTACTTTAACTTTGAATTAATAATACGCGCAAAGGTGCGTCATATTCAGCTGATGCTTATAAACGGCATTTGCCAGCCATTGAAGTGGGGCTTGACATCAGCAGGTTGAAATCCGAGTTTTCGAAGGAACGCGCCCGGAGCTGGTTCAAAACATCTGTTTCCAAATCAGAAAAAAAACAAAACGACCCATTATGTCCGGAAGAGCCGTCAGGAAAGTCATTACAACAGTGGCCAACTGGGACAAGCTGCATTCACAAAGAGGAACAACGGCCTCTCTGTTGGGTACTTGAAAGTAACCAAGTAACCAACAGAGAGGTGATGAAAACAAATTGCATGCAGCCTAATATGACTCACATTTCTTTTTTTTGCAGTGTTTAAATGGTGATTTTGTTGCTTCAAATTAAATTCCTCATAATTCTGTCTACTTCCTGCAGATGCCAGAACAAGAATCCTCCATGAACTGGAGGTGACTCCCTGAACTGATATCTCACAAAAGTTTAATCACAAATATGACCCTTCCTGAGCCTTTATGCCTGAACTGTCCTCCCTGATTTTTATTTGTTCTGCCCCTATACTTTCTGGCTGAGGAAATGCGTTCACCTACCTTTTCACCTTCCCACTGGCACACCTATTCATGCCCTTTTGTCTCATATGTGATACCTGCGACTTGAACGCGCACACACCAGATGGAGCCGCGCTGTGACTCCCTGCCCTGGCTATATCAGGGGCAGCGGTCAGTGGCGCGATCAGGGTAGCTTATCCAGCAGGAGACCAGCGTGCTCACAATCCCATTACCCACCCATGCAGCAGTTTAGACCCACATTATCATCTGCCTTGGAGAGGCTTGCTTGGACAGATGATTGGAAGTCCTCCCCCCCCCCCACCATCTCCCCAGGCACATTAGCTGACACCCAGGGCTATGATTATAAACATCATTTATTCAGCAGACTCACTTATCCAGGCTTGTATTCATCCCCGCTAAAGACATTATCCACCACCATGCACGCAGATCAGTACGAGCACCGGCGGCCTAGATAGCAGAGAAAGCTAATCGCACATCCTGGCCCAATGAATCAAATTCTGATGTGCACATCTGTTCAAAATCGGGACTTTATTTCAATGTAGGCCTATATTTCAATCCGTATGCGGTGAGGCCGAGATACGATATTTGGGTTGTTTTTATGTCACAAGTCTTTTCACTCCCATATGGTACATTGTGACACAGACAAGATGTAATTAGCATTTAGCAAGTTGGAGATGATACTAGGTGACATTTGCAGTGATTGTGGTTAACTGTTCATGCTTCCACTTCCGAGGCAGGCAGCAGAATGTTGGCCAGGAGGGACGCTGCCATAGCTACAGCACTCTAGATAAGACAAATCATATGTGTCCTTATGAACTGACTGAATTGCAGGGATGGAAAATCCTATAGCCCACTATAGCATTAGGCCTGGAACCCATTGCTTACCCTTCACCTGCCCTACCCTTGTTGGTGCACCCTAAAGATATGCTTAGTTTCCCTGCCCCCCAAAACACAGAAAGGACAGCACATCTGACATGAGCCTGGACCCTGACTGGTGTGTTTAACACTCTCTTGGGGCTATATTTATTCCTCTGTGACTTCAAATGGCATCTCTGCTATGTCTGTGAAAAAGCAGCGCTAAAATCCTCGTTGCTTGTCACATTTGCCCCGCAGGCAGGTGCAGAACTACAGCCCAGCTCACTCTGGGACACTTGAGTGGACAAAATGGAACATTTTCTCTGATCACCGTCCACCTCATGGACTGACACGTTGGAGTGTTTCACCTTGTGCGTGTCCCCCTCTGAATATTCCACGTGACCGTGGGAAGAAATTGGATACAAATACACCACATTGTTTCTTACCAAGTTACTGGCAGTCATATGTATTTATTTCCAATAGATCAACGTGACCAGGG